AGGGATGTGGGTTACACAGGTCTATACATTTGTCAAGACACGTGAAATTATACTCTTAAAGATGTCTGCATTTGTTTCATTGTATATTTTACCTTAAAAAAGATTCAAATATTGAACTCTAGTAAACGAAATGCATGCTGAAATGTTTAAAGGAATGTGTACACATGTCCATGATTTTGAAATGCATAGAGTTGATACATGGGTATGCATATGTGATAAAGCCAAGTGTAGTAAAATACTAATTGTAGAATCTGGGTGGTGGATATATGGGTGTTCACAGTACAATTACTTTGACTTTCTGAATGTCTGAAAATTTTCATCACAAAATGTTAGGGAAAAAAAAAAAGAGATGTGGGTTAACGTCTCTGGTCTCCGGTATCTTCATAACCACAGATTTGGTTTAGACCTCATTACATCTTTGTTTGTTTTTTTGTTTTGAGACAGAGTTTTGCTCTTGTTGCCCAGGCTGGAGTGCAATGGCATAATCTCTGCTCACTGCAACGTCCGCCTCCCGGGTTCAAGGGATTCTCCTGCCTCAGCCTTCCGAGTGGCTCGGATTACAGGCATGTGCCACCATGCCTGGCTAATTTTTCATATTTTTATTAGAGACAGGGTTTCTCCATGTTGGCCTGACTGGTCTCTAACTCGCAACCTCAGGTGATCTGCCCGCCTCGGCCTCCCAAAGTGCTAGGATTACAGGTGTGAGCCACCGCACCTGGCCCTAGACCTCTAGACCGCATTACATCTTAACTGGAATCTTGCAATCAACTTCACACTGGCCTCCAGGTTTGCCCACTGCAGTCTCTCCTCACCCCAAGGATCGCCAGAGACAATATTCCAAAACATTGGACCTCCGTGATCCAGTCCCTGCCAACCACTTCAGCTTCATCCCTGACACTTGCAACCTTACTGCAGCCTGTACTCCAGCTCAACTCAAGGGCTTTTAGTTCCACTCACACACCAGGCTACTTTATGACTTTTTTTTTTTCTTTTTTTTCTTTTTTTTTTTTTTGAGACAGAGTCTCGCTCTGTCGCCCAGGCTGGAGTGCAGTGGCGCGATCTCGGCTCAAGTTTGCTCATGCTGTTCCTTTTGCTTGGAATGCTCTTTTCCAACTCATCCTCTGCCCTCTTTTCCAACTCATCCTCTGCCCTCTTTTCTTGGTGAGTGCTCTTCAAATTTAATCCAGGCATTACATCTTCCTAAAAGCATTTCCTGCCACTCAAACTGGGTTGGGTCTCCTTCTTTCATGCTCCCATAGCACCTCAAACTTATTTGTAACACAGTATTTACCCTACTATGATGTATGTGGGTTTCCATGTCTGTATACTAAACTACATACTCTTTGAAGATCAAGCTCTTCAATGGCATGCACAGGGTCTGATCCAACAGGCTTTAATAAATGACTGTAGAACTGAACAATTTATATTGAACTGGCATGGATGGCACTCTGGCACCTTCCAACAACTTTGTGTCTTAGATTTGGTTGTCATCTCCACTACAGTTTAAGGCCCACCACCCCTATTAACTCAGCCACCTCCCTCATGAAGACAATTCAATTTCCTACCCCAGTTTGGAATACTCTCCCTAATTCCTTAAAGGTTCACTTTCTCTATACTTCGAGATTCTAGGTGTTGGGCAAATTTTGGCTGGGAAAAATTAAACTATGTTTGCTGATCACCTGAGTGCCTGACATTGAATTTTCATTCATATATATATATACATATATAGTTCAAAGCCAGACAGAACTAAGAATTTTCTTCAAAGGCACTAGCTAATATAATTCCTCCCAAGAATCCTGTGAAGTAGGGATCATATCTTCATTTCATAGATGACAAAACTGAGGCAAGGAAATATGAAGCAACCAGTTCAAGATCACATAGGAAGCAGAGCTGCAATATAATCACTGGTCTTCTCAACTCCCAGGCATATCCTCTTTCCACCACATCCCATTGTCTCCAGGTTGGGCCAGGTTCTGGAAAGCCTTGAGAGCCAGAGAGTGTAATAAGCAGTTGGAAGTCATCAAGTGTTCTTAAGCAGGAGGGGATGATGAAAATAGAACTCTGGGGAGATACTCCTGAAAGGTTGTGTATGACAGAATTTAGTGTGAGGGAGGCTACTGGACTCCTGACAAGGAAAATACAAAATGGGTACTGTAATTCTCTTAACACATTCATTGGTGAGTGCTGGCATTATGATGGGGTCTCATGGAAAAGGAGAGGGTCTGAGGTTGTTTTGAAAATTAAAAAGCTGAAGGGGACATAGGAGTTCATCTTCTGTCTCTTGGGTTGAGTGGCCCAACTGATGGTCTGCCCCCTGGAAATGGCCTGGGATTTCTGCCTTTCATGGGATGTAGGAGTCCAGGAAAAGGTCCAAGTTGACTGGACAGTTGGGTGAAGGTTTCCTTAGGAAAGTGGCATTCAATGGGACACTAGATGAGATGGTGCCCTCCCCATCTCTCCTTCAGTAGCTTCCAAACTAGCCTTCCTGGCTTCAGTCTCTCCCCCTCTTCACCCACCTCCAAAGGGATCCTTTTTACACTTGTCTTTTTTTTTCCTTCCTTTTTGTGGAGAATGGGGTCTTGCTATATTGCCCAGGCAGGTCTCGAACTCCTGGGCTCAAGCTATCCTGCCGCCTCTGCCTCCCTGAGAGGTGGGATTACAAAAGGCGTGAGCCACCACGCCTGGCCCAAAGGGATCGTTTTTAAATGCCAAGTTGGATCATGTGATTTTCTGCTTAAAACCCTTTAAAGGTTCTCTGCCATTCTTGGGATAAAGTAAGGTCTTTTGACAAACATCAAAATTACATATCCTCCATAATCTAGGATTTTAAAATAAACATTATGCCTAAAAATTAACCAATTATGATCATATGCCTTCTCAAACTACATATTCCCTCTTGGGGATTGTGCTGATGTTCCTCCAGGTGAGTCCCAGCTGCAGTTTACAGTATTGTTGACCTATATGAATACACACACACACCCCAACCTATTTTTATTCATGCTACTGCTTCGGCTTGGACTACTCTCCCATTGTTCTTAGCCAGATCAACTAATTGCTTTTCATCTTTCAGCTCAAGCACCACCCAATAGGAAGGCTTCCCCAATCTCCTCGCTTCTCTAGGATGGATTCCCTACTTAGCTCTATCAATATGCTGTACCATATGATGCTCCTCTCCTCCATTCAACTTACTGGAGGGCAAGTGCCATTTCAGTTAACTTGGTGTGTACAGAGTGCTGATGAAGGGGCCTGTGTAGTTGAGGCAGGGGAAACAACATGAGATAGCAGAAATGGCAATCTGTACTCAGGACAAGTTAGGGCTAGAGGATTCGGTTTGGGAATTAACAACATCCAGAAAGTTTAGGGGCAACCAAGCTTCTAGAGGGCTTCATAGTTAATTCCATCTTGCAAATGTAGAAACTGAGACACAGACAAGCAGTTTCTCCCAAATTACTTACTCATTGAGAAGGAGGGCTCTTTAGCCCCAAGTCCTGTGCACTTTTCCACTCCATACTGGGAAGGGGGAGGACTGAAGTTGGGTGCCTTGTTTCCCTCCCAATTTTGAGACAGGAGCCTCTGAACTGCTGGCACCTCCTGCCTGGACTGAGGAATAAGGTGACCAAGGCTCTAGCTTATCTTCTAATCTGAGGTTGGTAAAAACAAAGCACAAAACAGTGCTTTGTCTCTTGACTGAGGAAGGTGGGGGGAATTGGTGACAAAAATAACCCAGCCCACCATTCCTGCAAAGGCTTTAAAATCCTTCTTTCCTGTTTCCTTTCTACCAGGAAATACAGTTCTCCATGCTTCAGACATGAACATTTATCAAAACCCCACCTACTGCTGAGACAGACTGTGAGAACTGGAGGAGGTCATTTAACCAGTAGGTGCCAAAACCAGACAGCCTCACTCCAGACCCACAGAAGCAGAATCTCCAGGAGGAAGTAAATCTTGATTGGGTTCAAAATACTTTAATAGGTGACCCACAGACATTAAGCAGCCTGCCCTGGCTCACCCAGAGAGTCAGGGTGGTGGTGAATTTGAAACTGAGTCTCCCAAGATCACCCTGGGCGCTTTCCTTAGGAGATAACTCTCAATTCCGCACCTTGCACACAACAAAGGCTTAATAATGATCTGTTGGGTGCTTGAGCCTCAAAAGATTTTCTAATACGGTGAAGGCAAAGAACGTAAGTTTTGGAATCAGGCAGATCCTGCTGCAGAAGACCATTGGCAAACTTCAGTCTCCTTAACTGTAAAACAGGGTGAATATCCTCATGGGGTTTTCAGTGAGGATTAAATGAGATATCCTAAGTAAAATCCCTAGCCCAAACCTGGCACCCAAAAGGCACTTAATAAATGGTAGTGGTTATCAGTGAGAAGTGGTAGAACGAGTGATAAGAGAATATACATTCTGGAACCAGGTTGGTCTCAGAATTTTCATCTATGATACAGGAAGGTTACTTTGTTTCTTTGCTGGTAGGATGAGGGTGTTGGTGAGGATGAAATGAATCAATAAAGCATTAAGAGTAGTGCCTGGCACAAGAAAACAAGTGCGATAATTGTGAAAACAAGCTCTGATAATTATATTCTTCTAACCCTTGTACTGGCCCTAAGCACAGTAATTAAGTCCAGATTATACAACAAGTGCATGTCTTCCATGCAGGGAGAAGGAAAAAAAAAATCCCACATTCACAGAAAGAGGACACACTTGCAAAAGCAGTCTCTGGAAAGCCCTCCCACTGAACTTGTCAGACCCCTTTGAATTATTGCACCCTTTCTTTTCTGCTCACTCTGCTTCTGATGATCTACTTCAGGTGTGTGAAGTGTGTCCTTCCTGAGGGTGGGAATACCCTTCCCACTTCAAGCATAAGGCTGACCACCAGGGAAATGCCCACCAATAACTTGCTGAGGGAGAGACAAAGGAGTACAAGGAGAAGGCAGCACTCCTGGACCCTGCACCACACCACCACCCACACCACAAAAAAAAAGAATGCCAAGCAAAGCAATTGCCAAGATAAATCACTTTTATCTCTATAGGAAAGGGAGGATCTAAAAAAAATATAAATTACATTAGTAACACAACATAAGAAAAAGACAGGGGCAAAAACAACAGAGAAGTGTGAATGATGCTACTCTAACCTATTTATAAAAAGGCCCTGCATCAGAAATTCACAATCCTACCCACTTCTAAAAATATATTTAGACATGTACAGAAGCGGTGGGCTTGTTTCTATATTTTTTTTTGTAAAAATATATTAAAGGTGAATAGAAATCCTCTCTCCCTTCCCCCTATCCAGCCCCTAGCTAGGAATTGGAGATCAGAGGTAACTATCTCACGGTGTTCTAAACCTTGATTACTAAACACTCCCAACCCCTCCCCAACTCACTTCACTGAGAACCTGAAACATTAAAAAAAAACAAAAACAAAGACATCAGCCTCTTTGGAAAAGCATAACTCTGAGGGTAAACTTGCTTTTCATTGGAAACAACACAAAACAACAAACATGGGGCTCCAAGAACCCAACTAAGCTAAATGAAACCCAGTCAAATGGAGGCTGGGTTTCAGCTCCACAGAAAACTTCTAACAAAGAAACAGAGGGAAAGGGCCGGAATCAGGGGGATTTGCTAGCAATTAGCTGCCTTTGAAAGATCAAGAGGGGGTGTTAATGGACAAAAGGGCTGGGGACCTGATGTTGGTTACAGCAGTCACCGCATAGTCAGGCAGTTGCCTATACAGCGACAGAGGCTTCTCTTGCCCTCCCCTCACTACCCTCTGCTGCCTTGAAATCCCCAAAGTAAGCAAAGCTGGGTAGAAACAGAGGGGAGGGGAGTAGGGACTCATGTGCTGGGGGGAGGTAGCCAGGCTTTCTGCCTTTGGTGTGACTAGATGGAGAACTGCTTGGCCCCTGGGGTCCCCAAGGTAGAGAAAGCAAATGGGCTAAAGGAACCCCTGATTCCAAGGAAGGAAAGTAGAGGCAGGGCTACGGAGAAAAGAAAGACAAACTGGAGATACAAAGATGACGAAGGAAGCCTCACAAATTCCCTGTGGCCTGCATGGTAGCTGTTAAATTCCCCAGCAGCACTGGGCAAGCTGGGGTGAGGTTGGAGTGGGTGGTACAGGTGGAGAGGGCAAGGGTACACTCCACTTGGGCAGTGCCAAATGGAGGTGGGGGGGATGTTCTCCATCGAGTCCAGATTGCCAGTGAGGCAAGGCGGTGGGAGGTGGGGGCACTGTCTGGACAATGGAGATAATCCACGAAGGAAGGACAGGGGAAGGGAGGATCGGATGGATGGTCTGCTCCTTCACGGATGGGCGTCTCTTCTCTTCAACTTGGGCTCGTGAATGGCCTGTCTGCATTCTGCTTGAACGATGACCTGTCGTCTGGAAGTGCAAAGGCCCAGGAGTGAAGATGTGAGTCCTGAGGTCTTCTTCAGACCAAGACCTCAGGTGGAGAAAGAAGCATGAAAAGTTCCCGATGGAGGACCCAGGTGTGGGCCGTCCCGCCACACCCTCCATAATGTCCAGGCTGTGCTCTGTGGTATAGGCGGAGCAAGCAAGCTGTAGGGCCAGGGTTATCTGCGTCAGTGGCAGGTGCTTTCAGGTTTCTGGGAGATGGTTTTCCACCTGCCAGGGCCCAGCCACAGCCACAGCCACAGCCACGTGGATAATGTTCTACATGATTTCAAAATCCAGGCAAATCCCTGGAGCTCACCCTAAAACAAGTGGCCTCATGTGTAGCCAGCTAAAAGTAGCTTCCTCCAACAGGCTACAAAGCCATGGTCAAAGGCTTGGGCATCTGACCTCTCCCTACCTTGACAAGTGATAGGAATCACCTTTCTTCCGAAAGGTAAGTGAAGTTGGCGTTTCTAGGCCACTTCTGGAAATGGCCCACAGTGGGGCAGGAAGGAGGCTCTAGGCCTTCCTCTTCATTTCCATGAAGCTTTTGGCAAGAGGGGGCAGAGACCACAGCCTTCTCCCATGAGCAAGTCTGGAGATGGGGCATGTCCACTGGACTGGGGAAATGGGGCAAACAGAATGGGTGGAGGTGGGCAGGCTTCCGGATATAGGGCTAGAGTTGCAGAAAGTGTCAAGCACTGGGATTCCCACTTCATGGCTCAGGCTCCTTCACACCTCTCCTCATCCTGCCTTCCAGCTCTAGGAGCGGATCAAGAGTAAAGAACAGACAAGGCAGGTGACAGGGGAGTGGTTTGGACGAGTAGAAAAGAGGGTTCTAGTCAGCTGGAAACCTCTCCCATTTACCTGCTACTCAGAGGCATGGAGAAGGCAGGCAGGATGCTCTAGTGAAAGTGGGGAAGGGAGCTAGGAGGAGTCGGTGGAGGGGTCCGTGCCTTTGGTAAGTCCCAAGAAAGCAGGACAATGCACCTCAGCACCTTGTCCGGGGCAGATAGGATCCAGGAATGCCCCGAGAGTTGACAACGGAGAAGGCAATGGGGGTAAAGGGGTGAGGGGTGGGACACAGGAGGGCTCACAGAAGTAGTTTGCCATTTCTGTGGATTTTCAGGATACGGCCGAGTCTCTGCTTTGCTGTGGCCAGGCCCTTTTTGGGACGCTTTCCTGTGGGAGAAGGGAAAAGTAAGCAAGGGCTTTGGCAAGGGCTTCAACACCAAATCTGGCACCAACTGCCCTCAGGCTACCTCCTCTTCCTGTTTCTCTACCCACAAAGTTTCTCCATCCTTTGACCATATTGGGCAGGAAGCCCTCCTTAACTACTTCCAACCAACATTACATGCTTTGACTCTTCCTTCTATGACCCCCTGTAGCAGCAAGAGACTCCCTGATTACAGTTTGTCTGGTTCTTTTTCTCCACTGATTACTCTGGTCCCAATCATTTTCCTTCCAAGATCCTGCAGGGAGGTAAATGTGCTTCCACACCCTCTTATCCTACCCACCAGGACTGGACAAGTGCCTGGTTAGTGATTAGAGCTCAGTGTCCCTGAAGTTGCCATCCCTAGGGCCTTGCTTCATTAGAAACTCTCATCTTCATCAGCCTTCAACATCACACCAACCTCCGTGCCCTTGAGCTGCATACTCTAGGGACTGGGCTTTGAGGACCAAAGTGAGGGAAAGGAAGGCCTGAGTCCCCTGACTCTTTGTTGTCTCTGTCTCCCCACATTAAATCCCCTCCCATGTCCTATTTGACTGCCTCTGTATTTGATCAGTTCATCTCCTCCCTCTCTACTCCCTCTGGCAGAGCCCCAGGTACTCTTCCTGCTTGCCTGAACTTGTATATGTGCCTCCTCCCTAGAGTTCCCACCTCTAGCCCACCCTCTACCTCCTTCTGGCCACCAGAAGGATCTTTCAAAACTAAAACCTGATCTTGTCTGTACTTCAAATCAGTCAACATCTCTCCATGGCCCATAAGATCAAATCCAAGCACCTTAGGTTGGCCTTCAGTGTCCCTCCCTGGTATTGTCATCTACTAGAGCACTTAGGATTTAGGGCAGGTGGCTTTAAGATCCTTTGGTTCTACAACCACATGGCCGTTGTACCTTGTCCTGCCTGATTGCTCTGGGAGCCAACTGAAGGGCGCCGCTGCGTCAAGAAGACACCGGGGGCCATAGGTGTGGTGCTGCGGTTTGCCTGGGCCATGCCAAAGGCATTGGGACGAGCCGTGTACTCATGGTCAGCGAGACTTCCTGACAGGGCCTCTTGTTTAGGCTCAGGAGGAGGCAGGGGTGAGGAGGAGGTGACAAGCTGTGGTGTGGCAGCCACAGTGGGGGCTGGTACTGTCAGACTGAGATTGGAGTCTTGAGGGCGAGGCTGTTCTACCTCCTTCAGCAAAGGCTTCTTCTTGATATATTTCTTCTTTTGGGCCTTCTGTAGCTCCTGAAACACAAGCCAAGTAGGAGGAGAGATTCAGGAGTGAAAAAAAGAAGAAAAGTTCCCAGGAAAGGAACTAACTAGACAATGGCCAATATGGTTGTGCAACCTGCCACCCTCTCCCTTACCTGTACCAAGTCTAGCCTGGATGTACACACAGCACGTAACAGGCCTTCCAATACCTGAGATCATCTCTTTGTTACTATCCATCCTCAAGTCACTGCTGTCACATTTTAGTACAGTGCCAAGAGAGCTGTAAATGAATTTGGAGACTAGGATTTTGGTCCTAGTGTTGCCACTAATGAGGTAGACCTTGGACACATCTAATCATAATAACTAAATTTACATTAGCAGCTGAGACACTTTATATACTTTATCTCATTTAATTCTCATAACAGCCCTAAGAAGAAAAAATCCTAATTTTACATGTGAGAAAATGGAGGTACAGGGGTATTAAGTAACTTGAGCCCAAAGCCTCACAGCTGAAAAGTAGTTGGGACCAGTATTTAAAACCAGGTCTATCTGAAGAGACACCTTGCAAACTTCTCAAAATGGAAAATCTGAGCATAGAAAGATTAGAAAGATTATTAGCTTTGGAGTGAGATAAATCTGGTTCAAATCCAGGCTTGTGTTCCCTAAATTGGATGACTATGGTCAAACTGACTAACCTTTCTGAATCTCTGCTGCCTCATCTATAAAACAGGTAAATATCTGCTTTTTAGGGTTTTTGAAAAGATTAAATGATGACATAAAAATACACAGCACATAGTAGATATTCAACAAGTAGTTACTTATTATTCTATCTTCATCTCTTATAATGGCTTCTCTTCCCCTTGCTGGTCTTTTTCTTTTAACAGAGGGCTTGACAATCCTCCAGGTCACTGGGTCTAAAAACCTCACTTTGGGGATGGGAATGACAAATGAGTTGTGTCACTTCTCCCAATACCTTGTATCTCAACCATCCAGTGCCCTACGGATCTACCATCCACTGCATAGTGGACATTTGTATAGTGGGCATCTGGAGCCCTGAGAACCTGGAAAGGTGGTGCTGAGAGCATGTAAATAACTTCACCTTCTGAAATGCTACACAGCCACACAAACCAACTCAGTGATTACATTTTTTTGCCTTCTCTTGGCAACACGAGCCTACTCCTGCCTTCGAAGATCTGACAGGCTGTGGCTACCACAGGCATTTCTTGGGTACAAGAATAATAATATTAGTAATACATGCCAACCACTCTTCTATAATTACTCATTTAATACTCGTAAAAACCCAAGAAGTAAGAATTATAACCCCATTTGAAGGATGAAGAAACTGGCACAGAGAGGCTAAGTCATTTCCCTAAGGTTACAGGACCAGTAAGTGGCCAAACTGGGATTCACATCCAAGCCATTTGGCTTCAGAATCTCTTCCCTCAGCCACAATGCTATTCTACCCATACCAGGAACTGCATTTCTGTCCCTTTTTCTCTCACTTAAACTCAGAATTACCTCTTCATATCTAGATCACTAGCCTAAATTTTGCTACCTTTGCTGCCAATCTCTTTCATATATAATTTATCCAGATACCCCCACAGACAACTAGACCATCTTATGACAGAACCACTTTCACCTTGCCAATCCCCTTGCTCAAAAGGCTGTTAGCAGATTCCCGCCCAAGTTCAAACTCCCTGGCCTGACATTCATGATCTTCCACAGTCTGGCTGTTTACACTTAGCCAACTCATAATAATGATGAAAAGCTAACAGGCCTATAGTACTTACTCCATACCAACTGCCATTCTAAAAGAGCTTGTACATACATTACCTCATTTAATCCTAAAATGAAGTCTATGAGGAAACGAGGTAAAGAGAAATCAACTTGCCCAAGTGGTAGAACTCTTATGTAATTTAAATCCAAGCAGGCTGACTCTAGAATCCATTCTTATATCCATTACTTATTTTCACTAACTCCCCAACATGAAGTCTCCAATAGAGAAAGATCTGTTTCATTCATTCATTCATTCATTCACTCACTCACCCCAATACTGACTAAACACATTTTCTGACCATAGTGGGGATACCAAGTTAAATATATTCCCACTCTTGAAGTATTCATGGTTTAGTAAGAAACAACAAAACATTCATTTATGATTGTAAGTACCACGAGAGAATGCTGTAGAAGCATATAGAAAAAGGCCTCTGAAATAAAGTGGTGGTAGGTAGTACGAAGGGCTGTTAGGTAAGGCATCTGAGAGGGTATGATTCTCAATAGGTAAAAGGAACATCTTTTGTAAAGGCACAAAACCATGAGACAATCTGATATACTCACTGAGGGGACTATGAGTATTACAGTGCAGTATGGCTGTATAAAGGGTGTGCATGAGGGGCTGGAAGGAGGTCAGGGAGATGACTAGAGACCAAATCAAGAGGGTTTTAGGAGGGCTTTGTGTGCTATACCAAGGAATTCCCTTCTTCTAGAATGCCTCCCTGGCCCATACCAGAAACTTAGCTTGCAAAGCCCTTCCCCAGTTTCAAAACCTCTTCTTTGAGGTAATCTCTGATCATCCCAAACAGAATTCAGCTCCTTAAAAGGCACTAAGAGTAATTTTCACACCTTTACTTAATTTACGTTTATATAAAACAGTAGAACCCCCTTTTTCAAATTACAGCTTACACTGTATTGGGATATACATAAGAGAGAGAAGTTCTGGTCAAAGAAGATTGCCAAAGATTTAAATATTATTTAAATACGATGTAATGACTACACTACGTGAGCATGTATTTAAATAGAAAGTAGTATGAACTTTGAAGTTAGAGGATATGAGTTTGAATTGTCGCCTCCATTTACTGTCTGTATTATCCTGAGTCACTTAATGAGAACCTCATTTTCTTCATCTATAAAATGATGAAAATATCACCTGTTGAACAGGGCTATTGGGCAGATTACATTACACATTGTATACGGAAGCAACTAACAAAGCAGATGCTTAATAGCGCTCTAAGCTATAAGATATGGGATTAGAAGCTAACGGGATATTGATAGCGAGAGAACCAGAAAATTCACCTCCAAAGGCTCCTAAGCACATTACACACATAAAATAACTTTTAGCTGTTAATGCTAGGTGAACTTGATTCTTTTTTTTTTTTTTTTTTTTTTTTGAGACGGAGTCTCGCTCTGCCGCCCAGGCTGGAGTGCAGTGGCCGGATCTCAGCTCACTGCAGGCTCCGCCTCCCGGGTTCACGCAATTCTCCTGCCTCAGCCTCCCCAGTAGCTGGGACTACAGGCGCCCGCCATCTCGCCCGGCTAGTTTTTTGTATTATAGTACAGACGGGGTTTCACCGTGTCAGCCAGGATGGTCTCGATCTCCTGACCTCGTGATCCGCCCGCCTCGGCCTCCCAAAGTGCTGGGATTACAGGCTTGAGCCACCGCGCCCGGCCTAGGTGAACTTGATTCTAGTGAAGATCACTCTTTAGGACAAAAAAAATGTTAGTGGGTGAAGATTAAGATAATATTATTTCATAAAGAGGACAAGAAAAATTTCTAATCAACCAAATTACAATACTGGTGGGTGGCTGAGAACTTGAGTGTACTCAGCTGAGTCACCCCCTCAGGGCTTCATATGAGAGCAAAGGATGGATCTGGTCCTTCTCATCTGAGAGGTTTTCACACACAAAAAAGGTAAGTGATATCCGCAAGGGTTTTTCTCTGGCCTAATATTTTCTTTCATCCTAAATCATGTCAACTGTGTAACCTGTGGAAGTAGCTTATCATTGAGTTGGGATAAGAGGGATTTAAGAGGGGGCTGGGATACTGCCAAGGATAAAGATCAAAGGTTACTCAATCCCCACTGAGACAAAGGTAGGATCCTATCAGCCTGCAGGTCTAAGTGTTGAGGCTCTAAGTCAAACTGCTATTTTTTTTTTCTTTTTTTTTTTTTTTGGTTTTTTCAATGTTTATTTTATGTACAAAGAACTATCATGGTTTTTCATTGAGTAGATGCTTTGGATAATCCTTTGAAGGAAGATCATTTAGTCCAACTTAATGAAACCGATATCCTTCGCGTACTGACGGAAACACTGGCGGCACATATTGAGGCCATTATTTCCGGATCAGACTGTGCCGGTTTGAACACATGCGACAAGAGCGAGAACCCTGGCCGAATTTTCGCGGGTGGCTCCAGTACAGCTGCTGGTGACCCATCTTGCTCTCAGAAGTGCAACAAGGTAAAAGGAAGGAGACCAAACTGCTATTAGTTGCAGGGTGACCTGGGGTGTCAGCACCTACCTGCTGGGCCAGCTTTGCAGCTGCTGCAGCCAAACCTGTCTCAATAGAGGCTACCCGGGTCCCCTCACGCACAGGGCGGTCTTGCTTCGGCAGAGTTGGGGTCACACGGGCTGCAGGGGAAACAGGATGAGAAGGTGTCACTAAGACACTTATCTGAATGCTAGCCATATTCCCTACCTACAAGCTCTCCAAAGGTGGTCTCATTGGTCTTCCTGCTTCCAGCTTTTTATGAAGCCAGATTTTGCTTGCCATCACATAAGAAACTAATTCACAAATGCTCAAAGCACACACTGATTAAACGGTAAAAGTGAACCTCCCAGAGCGGGGGAAAAAAGTGAACCTCCTTTGCCTGGGCATGATGGTTAATGCTTGTAATCCCAATGCTCTGGGAGGCTGAGGTGGGACCCTGTCACTACAAAAATTTAAAAAGTTAGCCAGGTGTGGTGGCATGCACCTGTAGTCCCAGCTACTTGGGAGGCTGAAGTGGGAGGACTGCTTGAACCCAGGAGTTTGAGGTTACAGTGAGCTACGATTGTACCACTGCACTCTAGCCTGGGCAACAGAGTGAGACTCTGTCTCTAAAAAATAAAACAATAAGCCAGGCCAGGTGCAGTAGCTCACACCTGTAATCCCAGCATTTTGGGAGGCTGAGGCAGGTGGATCACTTGTGGCCAGGAGTTCGAGACCAGCCTGGCCAACATGGCAAAACTTCATCTCTACTAAAAATACAAAAATTATCCGGGCATGGTGGTGTACACCTGTAGTCCCAGCTACTCAGGAGGCTGAGGCATGAGAATTGCTTGAGCCTGGAAGGCAGAGATTGCAGTGAGCAGAGACTGCATCACTGCACTCCAGCCTCGGCAACAGAGTGAAACTCTGTCTTAAATAATAATAATAATAAAATAAATCAATAATAAAAATAAAAAGTTAATCTCCCTGAACTGGCATTTAAGTTTGTCCCATATTCTGCTTCTGGCCCACTTACCTCTCCAACCTTATTTCCACATCCATATTCTCAGCTTCTCCAGACGGATGGCTTCCTTATTATATCTCCAGAGTGTGTACAGCTCATCCTCTCTCCCTATGCTTTCATCCTCACCATCCACACTACCTAGAGTACTATATTCCTTTTTGTCTGCCTATTCAAAACCTACCCATTCTTTAAGGTAAGCTGAAATCAATCTCCTACACAAAACCTCTTTGGTTCCATTGATCTTTTTCCTCTGAACTTATGATCTGTACAAATTACCTGATACATAGCACATACCACCTTGTCTCATTCTCTAATGCTGATGTGTTACTCTGTCTACCAACCAGGCTATGAGTTCCTGAAGAGGATCACCCTCTTGCATGACTCTTTTATAATGCCTTACCAACCTGAAATCAAAAAATACTCATCCCACCATTTCAAAAGGAAGTATGTTTCAGGATAACCAAACAGCCCCAAATGATGAGAGATAGCTCTTCTTTACAGAAGAAAGCCAGCTACTAAATGTAGAAGGAATGACAGAATTAGAAAATCACAAGCTGGCAAGTCCTAATGAAACAACTGATTCTAGGGAATTGGATATTCACACAGCACCAAAATATTACCTCACAGATTACCTGCTCACCTCAAGAAGAAAAAACTTATAATGAGACCAAGAGATTACCACTTTAAGTATGAACTTTACTGTCACTAATAGTGAGAAAGCACAACACAACTTCACGCACCTCTTGATGAGAAGCAATAGGAAATTCACATCACCTGAGTAGTTGTTTTGTTGAAGAGCTAAAATATAGCAAGCCATTCATATTACTTTCAGTGTTTAGGAAACAGGTATAGAAAAACAAGTTAAATGACACCAGAAGAAAACAAGCAGACATTCTACAAGATAAACTGGCTTAGTCTCTTTAAAAAGACAATGTCACAAGTAAGCAGACAAATCTAGAAGGTAGGACAGGACAATTACACCAGTGTCAACAACAGATCAATAGCACAGAACAAAAAAGGGGAGTGTTCTCTAGATTGAGAGGGTTAAAAGGCATGACATTCAAATGCCACATGGACCCTGTTTAGACCCTGATTTAAACAAATCTAATATTAAAAACACCTTTTCATGGTTTGACAATTTAGGAAATTTGATTATGGACTTAGAATCGGATAACAAAGAATTATCAAATTATTGTTAGTTTTGTTACGTATAATAACAGGTTGTAAGGTTTTGTGAGAAAATGTCCATTTTTTAGAAATACATACTGAAAAACTTGGGGGGAAATGGCATAACTGGGGTTTGCTTTCAAGCAAAGAAAAAAATTTTAAAAACAAGATAGTGATAAATGAAGCCAATATGGCAATATATCAATAACTGTTCATTCTCACTGGTGGATATATAGGAGCTCAATCAACTCTTCTTATTTATTTTTTGAGACGGAGTCTTGCTTTGTCACCAAAGACTAGAGTGCAGTGGGGTGATCTCAGCTCACTGCAGCCTCCACCTCCCAGGTTCAAGCGACTCTCCTGCCTCAGCCTCCTGAGTAGCTGGGATTACAGGCATGCACCACCATGCCCGGCTAATTTTTGTACTTTTAGTAGAAATGGGGTTTCACCATGTTGGCCAGGCTGGTCTTGAACTCCTAACCTCAAGTGATCCACCCACCTCAGCCTCCCAAAGTGCTGGGATTACAGGCATGAGCCACCATGCCCAGTCTTACTGTATTTTTAAAGAAAAAAATCTAATGTCACAGAAAAAAGATGTAGTGGTGTTGCTGACCTAGATTTAAATTCCTTGGTTAGCTATTGCTATTATAAAGGAGAATTTCTGGATAAGCAGTATGCAGATTCTAGAACAAGAAATTTGGAAGGCTGAAATTCTTTCTTTAAAGGTAACATTTGTTTAAAACATGATCTGAAGCAAATTTACCAAATGTTGATGCATAATTTTCAGTCATGGATACTTGGATATCTTTTATATTGTTCTCTATAGTTTTGTATGTGTGGTGGTTTTAAAACATGACCCCAAATCCTATGACACCTTTCCTACGGATAGGTGGGTCTGTGCCCCACTCTTGAATCTAAGCAGGCTTATTTGTAACCTATAGAATATGGTATAAATGACACTATATGACTTTTGAGGCTAGGTCAGTAAAGGTAATTTCAGTTTCCACACTGCTTGTTGGAACACTCATGCTTCTAGCAATCTGAACCGCCATGTAAAAAGTTTGATTGCCTTGAGGCTACTGGGCAGTGAGGAAGCTAGTCACATGGAGAGGCCACATGTTGGCACTTTCAGTCTTGTGTGTCCTCCCAGACCAGGCATCAAACATGTAAGTGAAAGAGACTTCAGATAACTCAAACTCTTGGCCAACAAGTCACCCCCAGCCTTCAGTTTTTCCAGCTGAGACCCCAGACTTCGTGCAGTAGAGACAAGTTGTCGCCATTGTGCCATTTCCAAATTCCTGACCCACAGAATACATGAACATAAGAAAATGCTGGTTGTTTTAAGCTGGGGATAAAGGAACCTCCTTGATTAGACCTGGGTTTTGGGAGGGGAAAAAACCTATAAAAGATATTTTGTGTAAACAGTTGGGGAAATTTGGTTATGAATTGGGTATCTGAAGATCTTAGGGAATTATTACTAACTTTGGTAAGTATAAAAAAAAGTAGTGTGGTTACACTGGGGAATGGTGGATGTCCTTAATTTTTTTGAGATGGAGTCTTGCACTGTCACGCAGTGGCGTGATCTCTACTCATTGCAACCTCCACCTCCTGGGTTCGAGTGATTCTTCTGCCTCAGCCTCCCAAGTAGCTGGGATAATAGGCACCCACCACCAGGCCCGGCTGATTTTTTGTATTTTTAGTAGAGATAGGGTTTCACCACGTTGGCCAGGCTAGTCTTGAACTCCTGACCTCAAATGATCCGCCCACCTCGGTGTGCCAAAGTGCTGGGATGACAGGCGTGAACCACCGCACCTGGCCAGATGTCCTTATTCTTAGGAGATACTAAATTATTAAAGGGTAAAATATGTTATGATGACTGTACATTACTTTGAAGTGGCTCAGCAAAAACTGTAGATAGCCAGATAGATATAGAAAGATGAATCAAGCAACTACAGCAAAATGTTACAACTATAGAATCTGGGTATTCAGACTATGGGTATTCACGTGCTATCGCTTCTACTTTTATGGCTCACGCCTGTAATCCCAGCACTTTGAGAGGCTGAGGTGGGCGGATCACCTGAGGTCAGGAGTTCGAGACCAGTCTGACCAACATGGAGAAACCCCGTCTATACTAAAAATACAAAAAATTAGCCGGGCCTGGTGGTGGGTGCCTGTTATCCCAGCTACTTGGGAGGCTGAGGGAGGAGAATCGCTTGAACCCAGGAGGTGGAGGTTGTGGTGAGCTGAGATCGTGCCACTGCACTCCAACCTGGACAAGAGCGAAACGACGTCTCAAAAAATAAAAAAATACAATACAATATAATACAATACGATAAAATAAAATAAAACTGTCAATACACTTTGGGACGCCGAGGTGAGCAGATCACCCGAGGTCAGGAGTTTGAGACCAGGCTGGTCAACATGGTGAAACCCTGTCTCTACTAAAAATACAAAAAAAATTAGCCAGGTGTGGTAGCACGTGCCTGTAATCCCAGCTACTCGGGAAGCTTAGGCAGGAAAATCACTTGAACCTAGAGGGCGGAGGTTGCAGTGAGCTGAGATTGCGTCACTGCACTCCAACCTGGGCGACAGAGTGAGACTCTGTCTCAAAAAATAAAATAAAATAGTCATACTAACAAATTTTAAATAATGAACAAGACTAAGAAATTATAATAACCAAATGCAGTGTGTAATCCTTGAACGGATTCTGGTTTAAGTAAGCCAATTACAAAACATATTTTTGGTGCAACTGGGGGAAATTTGAATAAGTACATGGTACTGGATAATATTAAGAAATAAATACTACTTTGCTTAGATATAATGGTACTGTGGTTATGGAAAAAATATCATTCAATGCATATTTAAGTATTTAAGATGAGATGTTATGATGGGTGATATCAGTAAAAATGGCAAAGTAAGGACCTCTAAGAATTCACTCCCCAATAAAAACAACAAAAAAACTAGCAAAAA